ATTTCATTCTTTTTTATTTTTATTTTTTTCTATTTATTTATTTATTTATTTAAAACTAATTAATTAATTAGTTAACTATTTATTTGTTTATTTATATATTTATTTGTTTATTTATAATTAACTATTTATTTATTTATTTATTTATTTATTTATAATTATTTATTTATTTATTTTGATTTTTTATTTTATTTAATTTTTTGCTGCAGAGAATTTCGGCGTTTGATGTTGGCCGTTTTGGCTGCAGTGAATTCAAATCCGATTTTCAACAATGTGGAAAAAGAAGTAAATTAAATATTTAATTATTTAATTTAATTATTTAATTTAATTATTTAATTCAATTATTTAATTTAATTATTTAATTTAATTATTTAATTTAATTATTTAATTTAATTATTTAATTTAATTTAGTTTAATTTAATTTGTTTGGCTGACTTGGTGAAGCAGCAGAAGTTTGTTCAGCAGCTTTTCATTCGCCAGGCAGCAAGCGCTGCAGCAAGAAAGCAGCAGCAGCAGCAGCAGCAGCAGCAGCTGCAGCAGCAGCAGCTGCAGCAGCAGCAGCAGCAGCAGCTGCAGCAGCAGCAGCTGCAGCAGCAGCAGCAGCAGCAGCTGCAGCAGCAGCAGCAGCAGCAAGAGGCTGCACTTCTGCTGCTGTGCTGCGCGATTTTCATTTCCTTTTTTGCTGCAGCCTTTGGGGGGAGCTATAAACGAAGACACAGACAAAGCCATTAAGATTTTTAAGTTGAAAGAAACTGCAGGTTCGCCTTGCTGCTGCTGCTGCAGTTGCTGCTGCTGCTGCTGCAGTTGCTGCTGCTGCTGCTGCTGCTGCTGGCGCTGCTCGACTTCGTGCTTGTGCTGCATTCATATTTGCTGCCGCTGCTGCTGTTGCTTCTACTGCTGCTGCCGCTGCTCTTCTGTTGCTGCAAGTAGTGTTGCTGCTGTCTTCGTTGCTGCTGCAGCTGCTTTCTGCTGCAGCAGCAGCTGCTTTCTGCTGCTGCTGCTGCTGCTGCTGCTCTTCTGTTGCTGCAAGCAGTGTTGCTGCTGTCTTCGTTGCTGCTGCAGCTGCTCTCTGCTGCTGCTGCTGCTGCAGTGCCAGTTGCTGCTTGTGAACAATGAATTAAAAGAAATAAAATGATTTAATTTATTTTTAAATTGTTTTAATTCAGACGAAGAGGCGAAGCCGCTGGCCAGTTCTCTCTTGGGTGTTATGAATGCCTCGAAGAAGTTCATGTCAGTGCTGGCCAGCAGAATCCACACTTTGGAAAACAGGTGAAGCAGAAGTTCGAAAAGTTCATTTTCGCGAATTATTTGAATTTATTTGAATTTAAATGTTCAATTTAATTAATTATTTCAATTTAAATGCTTATTTGGATGCAAACGAGCCATCAAAAGCGAGCTTTCCACCTTCGTTCTTCTGGAATTGAATCATCTCGCGCAGAACCGGAACTTTGCATTTTCTGAGTTTTTGAAAGCGGAAAGTTCTTTTAAATGGATTTAAATGCATTTTAATTCATTTTGAAAAACATTTCAAACTTTTTTTCGAAGAAAAATCATTTTCTGAACTCTGAATTGAACTGGAAGGAAAGCAGAACGCGGCTGCTGCTCCCGGGCGCTGGGGTGTATGCGCAGCTTTCTTGCAAATTGCAGAACTGTTCCGAAACTTCAAGTGGCATTTTGCTTCAGATATATTTTTTGTTTCGATTTTTAATGTTTGCATTTAAAAATAAACACTTAAATGTAAATATTATATTTAAATATAATTATTTATTATTTCCTCGAAGTTTCTCGGGCTGGTGGCCACTTGGCCTGCGCAGCAGCAGCATGCAGTTTGAATGGAATTTGTTTCTTCTTTTGTTAGCCCCTCGAGTTTGTCTTTTTGTTTATTTCTGCATTTATTATTTAAATTTAAAACATTTAAATCAGAAATTGCATTAAATGGAAAGGATTTGAATTTCCAGTTTTGCTGCTGCTGCAGCGCAGCAGTCTGGCTGACCCACGGCGCGGAGATCCTGCCTTATTTGCTGCAGCTGCAGCAGACTTTTGCTGCGCTGCAGCAGCAGCAAAAAGAGGCGAAGGCAAAAGAAGAAGAAGTGAAGAAAAGAATTCGCGCCAAGGAGCAGCAGAAGCAGCAAGTCCGCCAGCTGTACATACACCTCAGCTCGCCTCTCGCCTCTTCCTTCTTCTTTTCTCTTCGCCATTTATTTTCTCTTTTCTTTTTTTTGCTTTACGCAGTTTATTTAGTCCAATCAAATCAACTTAAATTCAACTGAACTCAACTTATTTCAATTGAAATAAATGAAAAAGAATAAATTCAAAACAAATCCAAAAAGAATTATTTAAATTCTTTCCGAGATTTGCTGCAGGTGAAGTTTCGCCTCGAAAAAACAAAAGAAGATTTTCGTTTGGCCCGTTTGGACTTGACGAGAGAAGAACTCGAAAAGATTTCCAAAAGCGAAAGAATGCAAATCCTCGAAAACAAGTACGCAAGCAGCAGCAGCAGCAGCAGCAGCATTTGCAGCAGCAGCAGCAGTTGCAGCAGCAGCAGCAGTTGCAGCAGCCGCAGCAGTTGAAGCAGCCGCAGCAGCAGCTGCAGCAGCAGCAGCAGCAGCAGCAGCAGCAGCCCCGCGGGCGCAGCCATTGTCCGCCCCGTGTCTGCGTGGGACTGGGGCGTTTGAAGGGGCAGTTTGATTCTTTGTTTGAATTATAATTTATTTAATTTGTTGGAAATAATTTATTTAATTTGTTGGAAATAATTATTTAATTTGTTGGAAATAATTTAAAATAATTTAATTCTTTTTTTGCTTCAGGCAAGAAGCGCTGGACAGAGAGCTGCGGAGTTTGGCGGCTTTTTCTCCGCTGTTTATTGTCGAGCGGTCTGCCAAGTACATAACTTTGCAATACCGAGTGAGAAAAGTGGAAATTGGAAATTAAATTCAAAAATAACTTCAAAAAGAGTTCAAAAAGTTCAAAAGCATTTCAAAAAACTCCAAATTGTTTAAAGTGACTTCGAAGTGCTTTCCAGCGGCGGTCGCGCCGCGCGCTGAGGTGTACGTACACCTCAGCGCCCGCGGCGCGCGCGCGCGCCGCGCGAAGCGAATCCGAACAGTTTTTTGTGGAATTAATTCTCGAAAAGAGAAAAAGTGTTGTTGATTGGATTTAATTTTGCAAATGAAGTTAAATGAAGTCGAAAAGTTGCGCAATTGCGGCTTTTTTCGCGCGCTTTCCGCCGCTTTCCGCAGCCCGAGGGCTCCGCCGTCGACTACGAGATCTCCATTGAAGGCCTCGACTTTTCTTTCCAAAAAAACTTTAATTTCTTTTCTTCTTTTTTTTCCGTCAACTTCTCGCCGCCAAACCCGCGGGCGTCTTCGCTTCTGAAAGCCGCAATTGCAGACTTGCTGCAGCTCCTGCAGCAGCTCGCCCGGCCTCCGCTGCGCGCTCGCCCCGCAGCAGCAGCAGCAGCAGCACCAGCAGCAGCAGCAGCAGCAGCAGCAGCAGCAGCAGAAACAGCGAAGCATGCAGCGCCAGATGTTCTGCTGGAGTATCTCTCTGGGGTTCTCATAAAAGTGCGTTTGGATTTGTTGCAAAAGATTTATAATGGAGAAGTTTCAAAACTTTATTCTTTTTTTCAAATCAAATTATAATATTTATTTTCTTTTTTTTGTCTTCAAGCAATGGCCTGGCTGCTGCGCTGAACAGCAGCAGCAGCAGCAGTTGAGCAGCAGCTAATTGAAGTTAATTTCAACTCTAATTTATTTTCAATTTTGATTCACTTTTAATTTCATTTAATTTTATTTTTTTCATTTCTGCTGCTGCTGCTGCTGTTTATTTGTTTGCTGCTTGCAGACCCTCAGCTGCTGCTTCTCTACGCCCTCTCCGGCTCCCGGAGGTTCTGCTGCTGCTGCTGCTGCTGCTGCAGCAGCAGCAGCAGCAGCAAAATGAGCAGTCCGATTTAATTGAAAGAAGTGTTTTAAACATTAATTGCTGCTGTCTCCAGCACATCTCGAATTAATTGAGATGAAAAACTGAATTTTTCATTAATTGAATTTGTCCAAAAGGCCATCGGGAAAATCAGAAAAGTTTAAATTAAAAAACAAATAAATTAAAAAGAAGTCATTTGCCATTTTGCTGCTCCCAATTTTTATTTTTTTGAATTCAAAAAAAGACAAAAAATGCATTTGCTGCCAGCAACGAGACAGAGCGCTGCTGCTCCACGCTGCTGCAGCGCTGCAGCTGCTGCTGCTGTAGTGCTGCTGCTGTTGCTGCTGTAGTGCTGCTGCTGCTGCTGCTGTAGTGCTGCTGCTGCTGCTGCTGCTGTAGTGCTGCTGCTGCTGCTGCTGCAGTGCTGCAGCACTTAGTGGAAAAAGTGCAGCTGCAGTTTTAGGAAATTTGGATTTTTGGTGAAGTTAAATGGCTGAGGCAGCAGCTGCTTCTGATTTCGAAAGTAGAAGAGTGAATTTATTTACTTTTGAGAAGTTTTGAAATAAAATGAAAAACTATTTCGAAAATAAAAATAAAACGAAATGCCACTTTGAAAATGAAATGAAGTCTTCTTTTGAAACGCGAAGGCCGGCTGAGGCGCAGGGTTCGGGTGTACGTACACCTCAGAAACTCTTTTCTTTCGAAGTCAAAAGGGAATTAGTTTTAAAACATTTCTTTTTATTCTTTTTATTCTTTTTATTCTTTTATTCTTTTTATTCTTTTTAAATTCAAAATGAAACATCTTTTTGCAAAAGGACTTCTGCTGGCAGTTCTGCTGCCGCTCTTTTCCCCCGTTTTGGCCTTCATGTGCTCTCCGGAGGTAAAAGTTGAATTTGAATTTAAATTGAATTTAAATTGAATTTAAATTCAATTTAAATTCAATTCAAATTAAATTCAATTTAAATTCAATTCCGAATTCAAATTCAAATTCAAAGTTTAATTCAAATTCAACTTTAAATCCAACTTTAGATTCAACTTAAAATTCAAATTCAAGTTCGAATTTGAATTTAAAGTTGAATTTAAAGTTGAATTTAAAGTTGAATTTAAAGTTGAATTTAAAATTGGATTTACAATTGAATTTAAAATTGAAGTTAAATTTGAATTTGAATTTATTTGAACTTTTTGAATTGAATTCAAATTTCAGATTTGCCAAAGGTGCTGCAAAGCCACAGAGACCGGCAAGTCCATTTTTGGAAAGACTTTTTTATTTTATTTTTTATTTTTATTTTTTTATTTTTTATTTCTTTGGAGGCCTCAGGCTGCGAAGCTGGTGAATTAAAACAAATATAAATTAAATAATTAAAGATAAATCAATTAAAATAATAAAATAATTAATAAGAAATTAATTGAAAATAATAAATTATAAATGCACTGAACATATTAAATAATAAATACATTCAAAGTAATTATTGATAAATACGTTCAAAATATAAAAATAAATTAATTTAAAATAATTTAAAAGCTAAAAACAGTAAAGAACAAATAATAAACAACTAAAAGTAATAAATGAATGAAAACAAATAAATAAATAGTAAATAAATAATAAATAAATAATAAACAAATAATAAATAATAAACAAATAATAAATAAATGACAAATAAATAATAAATAAATAAAATAAAAACAGAAGAAAATATAAAAAATAAAAATTGAAATAAATGAAAAGTCGTTTTCAGCTTTCTTGCAGACAGAACAGGGCTTTCTCGTTTCAGGTAATTCCGAGTTGCTTTCTATTTCTCTTTTATTTCTTTTTTGTTTCTTTTATTTATTTTATTTCTGTTATTTCTTTATTTAGTTTATTATTTTATTTATTTTGTTCCTTTTTTGTTTATTTTATTTCGTTTATTTATTTTATTTATTTTATTTCTTTTATTTGATGTATTTCTTTATTGCCTTACTTCTGTATTTGGTTTTATTTGCCTATTTCTTTTATTTATTTATTTATTTATTTATTTATTTATTTATTTATTTATTTATTTATTTATTTACCTCTTTTATTTGTTTATTTGTTCCTTTTATTTATTATTTTACTTCTTCATTTCTTTTATTTCTCTTTATTTCTTTTTTGTTTCCTTATTGCTAACTATTCATTTCTTTATTCTGCTTCTTTCTTGTTTCTTGTTCCTTTTATTTCTTTTATTTATTTCAATTCTTTATTTCTTTCTTTTTATTTATTAATTTTATTTTTATTTATTTTTATTTATTTTTATTTATTTTAATTTATTTATTTTAATTTATTTTTATTTATTTTTAGATCATAGCTACTGCCTGGAGTGCAGCTGCGACAATCCCACTACAGGTGCGGCTGAAGCAACTGCTCTTTTGCTTCATCTTTATTTGCTGCTGCTGCTGCTGTGTTGCTGCTGCTGCTCCACTTATTTGCTGCTGCTGCTGCTGCTGCTGCACTTATTTGCTGCTGCTGCTGTTGCTGCTGCTGCAATTATTTGCTGCTGCAGCATCTGCTGCTGCGAGTTTCTTTTGCCGCTAATTTCCCATTTGTTTTTTCCTCTTTTCCTTTTCCCTTTGAACTGCTGCCTCCTCACCTGCTGCTGCTGCTGCTGCTGCTGCTGCTGCTGCTGCTGCTGCTTATTGCTGCTAAAGACTGTGCTGCTCTCAGGCTGCGGGTGGTGAGTTTTGCTGCTGCTGCTGCTGCTGCTGCTGCTGCAGCAAACGCCAACGGCCGCAGGCTGGCTTTCGGCGCTGGGCGGATTCAGTGCACTTCTTGTCAGTTTCTCCAGGCGATAACTCGTGGGGCTTTTTAGATTAAATAAATAAATAAATAAATAAATAAATAAATAATTTAATTTAATTTAATTTAATTAGTTTGATTTAATTGATTTAATTTAATTTAATTCAATTTAAATGATTTAATCAATTTAATTGATTTAATTAGTGTAGTTTAATTTAACTGATTTATTTAATTTGATTTAGTTGATTCAATTAGTTTAATTTAATTTAATTGATTCAATTTAATTCAATTTAATTAATTTAATTTAATTTAATTAATTTAATTTAATTAATTTAATTTGATTTAATTAATTTTTGTTTTATTTAATTTGCTGCAACTCAGAAAGGCTGAAGGGCGCTGAGGTGTCTGGCTGCGGCTCCGTCGCCCTCAACGGCGAAGTCCTTTACGGAGGCACTTTCGGTCAGTTCGATTTATTAATTAATTAATTAATTAATTAATTAATTAATTAATTAATTAACTAATTAATTAATTAATTAATTAATTTATTTATTTATTTATTTATTTAATTTATTTATTTATTTAATGGATTTAATTAATTAATTTGGTTTATTTGATGCATTTAGTCAATTGATTGGTGCATTGGTGGATTTGATTTGTTTAATTGCTTTAACTCTTTTAATTAATTCTTCAATTCCTTTATTTCATTTGACTTTTTATTTTTTCTTTTCGGCCTTTTTTAACTTCCGATTTGCTGCAGCTTTCGCCGGCGCTCGCTGAAGCAGCAGAAGCTGCTGCTGCTGCTGCTGCTGCTGCTGCTGCTGCTGCTGCTGCTGCGGCTGCTGCTGCTGCTGCGGACAGTACTTTATTGTTCGTTTTGTGGCTTTACTTCGACTGCGCAGTTAATTAAATGCAACTTTATTTGCGCATTCCCTCCACTGAGTCCCAGCGAGAAATAAATAAGTAAAAAATAAACAAATAATAAATAAATAATAAATAATTAAAAATAAATAATAAAAAAATAAATAATAATTAAATACTTTTCGCTAACTGGGCAGTGCGTTGAAGGCGCGCAAGCTCGCTTCCGGGGTGTACGTACACCTGAGGGGCTGCTGCGAGCCAGAAGGAGTTCGTTTGGAAGTGAAGTGAAGATCAAAAGAATAAAAGAAGTAAAAGAAGGCCAAAAGGGAATGCAGAAAAGATCCTAAATGTTTGAAAGTGAAGAAAAAAGAACTAAAAAGAAAAAGAATTAATTTGCGAAATAAATCCCTTTGTTGTTTGTGCAAATTTGAATTCCAAGTTTCAACTTCAGCTTTAATGGCTTTCGAGTTGATTCTTCAGAACTGTTCGAATGTGAAATAATAAAAAGAATTAAATTCGAAATAATGAAATGAATTAAATTCGAAATATTAAAAAGAATTAAATTGGAAATAATTAATAAAATGAATTCAATTGGAAACAATTAATAAAGTGAATTCAATTCGAAACAATTAATAAAATGAATTAAATTCGAAATAATAAATAAAATGAATTAAATTGGAAATAATGAAATGAATTCAAATTTGCGAATGGGCTTTGAAGTCTGCAAACGAAGGCGACGGGGTGTCTGTACAGCTGGCGGCTTCAGAGATCCGTCGAAGGCCAGAAGTGGAAAAGATGAAAATTGAAGGAAAGTGAAATGAAAATGAAATGAAAATGAAATGAAAATGAATTAAATTTGAATTGAAGTTGAATTAAAACTGAATTGAAGTGGAGTTACACTGAAATGAAGGAAAAGCGAATTAATTCGACACTGAATTGCTTTCGGCAGGAACTTGAAAGTTGAATTGGAATTCAAGTTTGAATTACTTCAGCGAATTGAATTTGACTATAATTTGAAATAAATTTGAAATAAATTTGAATTTAATTTCAAATTAAATTTAAATTAATTCAAATTAAATTCATTTCCACTCAAACGAAGCGCTTTCCACGAGTGACCCTGCTGCGGCTGGCGCACGCAGCAGCAGCAGCAGCATCGAACCATCTCGTGGCAGCAGCAGCAGCTGCTGCTGCTGCTGCTGCTGCTGCTGCTGCTGCTGCTGCTGCTGCTGCTGCTGCTGCTGCTTCTTAACTTGATAAAAGTTGAATCTTTCTTTTTTGTTGAAGTCGCGAACTGCCGCCGCGCCTCTCCGCCACGATGAACTCCGCCGCCGCAGATCTCGCGTGGCTGCCCGGCGACGCCGACGGTGAGCCTCCGCGTTTGTCTCAGTCGAATTTCGCGTTTGAAATTGAATTGAATTTCGAATTTAATTTAATTTAATTTAATTTAATTTAATTTAATTCAATTCAATTTAATTCAAATTAACTTCAAAGTCCTTTCCCGCGAGTTCGACTGCCGCCAGCTGCCCGCCAGCCCTGAGCAGACAGCGCCGCGAAGTGGACTTTCTTTGAATTAATTTCTCTTTTTGAAATTTAAAATCTTTTTCGAATTTCTTTTCAAATTCAAAACTCCTTTTCAGAAAAAAAATTCTTTTCCGCCGCCGCCAGCCGCTCTCCTCTCCGGCTGCGGCAAAGCGCTCGTTTGAAGGCCAATTAACTCTCCAATTGCAAATAAAAAAAGGAAATTAATTCCCCAATTGCAAATAAAAAAGGAAATTAACTCCCCAATTGCAAATAAAAAAGCAAATTAACTCCCCAATTGCAAATAAAAAAGCAAATTAATTCCTGAATTGCCAACAGAACTCCAGCCGCTCCAAAGGGCCTTTTAACTGCCCTTTTTGCCTCTCTTTTGCCTCCAACTGGAGCCTCAAAAGCTCCAAAACTCTTTTTTTTTCTTTTTTTTCTTTTTTTTCTTTTTTCTTTTTTGCAGAACAGTTGGCCCTCGGACTCCGCGTGGTTTCCAACGCCTACAAAAGCCGCGCCCAAACCGCCGACGCCGAAGCGCGCCAGCTGAAGGCGCAGCTCGCCGAACGCGGAGAACAGGTGGGACTTTTTGGGACTTTTGGGGACTTTTTGGGACTTTTTGGAGACTTTTTGGGGACTTTTTGGGACTTTTGAGGAGGAAAAAGGGAAATAAAACAATAAAGAGAGACCTGTGGTTCTTTAATGATGTTTTGTTGTTCATAAAAGTCCTTTTTGAGTTGTTTGGAGGAAAATAACTCAAAAAAAAGGACTCTGGAGCCTCAGATCTGAACTCTGAGGAGCTGCTCTTCGAGACTTGAAACTTCATTCTTCAAAACTCTCAATTTGCATGCAAAGTCTGGCATTTCATTCTCCAAAAGTCCTCAATTTGCATGCAAATTTCCTCATTTTATTCTTCAAAAGTCCTCAATTTGCATGCAATAATGGCATTTTATTCTTCAAAAGTCCTAAATTTGCATGCAATAATGGCTGTAAATGGCATTATTTGCATGCAATAGTGGCTGTAAAAGGCATTATTTGCATGCAAAAGAGTTTTAAAATTAATTATTTCTTTTTTCTTTTTTTCTTTTCAGGTTTCGAACTTGCAGAAGAAGTGCAGCGCGTTGGAAGTTCAGCTGATGGAACAAACGCAAAGAGGAAATCAACTCCTCGAAGAAAACAAACAACTCATCAACGCCACTCGCAAAGTCAGAATTAAACCCAAAAGAATTAAATTCTATTTAATTCTATTTTAATTCTATTTAATTCTATTTAAATTCAGTTTAAATTCTATTTAAATTCTACTAAATTCTATTTAAATTTTATTTAAATTCTATTTAAATTCTATTTAAATTCTATTTAAATTCTATTTATATTCTATTTAAATTCAATTTATATTCAATTTAATCAAATTTGGCACTCAAATTCAATTTAAATTCCATTTAAATTCAGTTTGATATTCATTTCAACTCCAATTTAATCAAATTTGGCACTTAAATTCAATTTAAATTCCATTTAAATTCAATTTAATTCATTTCAATTTCAATTTAATCAAATTCGGCACTTAATTTGAATTTAAATTCAATTTAAATTCAATTTAATTCATTTTAAATTCAGTTTAATTCATTTTAATTTCAGTTTAATTCAAAATGCAAAAAAGCTGCAAAAAGAGCCGCTTTAACGCCCAAGTGAAACTCCACTCATTTCCCTTTTCATTTCCATTTCCTTCCACTTTTGTTATTTGACTCCACTTCTTTCCCTAATTTAATTTAATTAATTTAATTTAATTTAATTTAATTTAATTAATTTAATTTACTTTAATTAATTTAATTTATTTAATCAATTTAATTAATTAAATTTATTTTTTTATTTTATTTATTTTCTTTTTAGCTGCAAAAAGACATCCAGCGTTTGGAGAATTTGAAGAAAGCCGTTTTGACTTCCATCCAAGAAGACCGCCCGGAGGCCGACGACAGCCCAGTGCGTTTTCAAATAATTTAATTTGCAAATTTAATTTAAATTTAATTTAATTAAAACTTAATTTTTTTATTTTAATTCTATTTCCGGATTAAGTTATTTGGAAATTTAATTAAGATTTAATTCTTTTTTTGAATTTGAATTCCTTTTCAAAGTCCAAAAGTATTAATTTGAATTCCAGTAGACCCCAAAAGAAATATAAAATGCAAATAAAATTATTAATTTGAATTCAAATTCCTTTTCAAAGTCCAAAATCATTTATTTGAATTTAAATTTCTTTTCGAAGTTCAAAATCATTTATTTGAATTTAAATTCCTTTTCAAAGTCTCATTTCCCTCGATAAGGAAGTCCGCATTTTCTGCAATTATTTATTTTTCTGTTTTTGCCTCCAGCCTTCTAAATAGTCCACTTTTCTGTTTTTAAATGCAATTCTTTCTTTCAAACACTTTTTAAATTCTTTTCTTTTCTCTTTTTAAGTTCAGTTTTCTTTCAAAAACTTTTATAAATTCTTTCTTTTCTCTTTTTAAATTCAATTCTTTCTTTCAAAGACTTTTATAAATTCTTTTCTGTTTTTAAATTCAATTTTCTTTCAAAAACTTTTTAAATTCCTTTCTTTTCTCTTTTTAAATTGAATTATTTCTTCAAAAACTTTTATAAATTCTTTTCTTTTCTGTTTTTAAATTCAATTCTTTCCTCAAAAACTTTTTAAATTCTTTTCTTTTTTTAAATTCAATTTTCTTTCAAAAACTTTTTAAGTTCTTTTTTTTTAAATTCAATTCTTTCTTCAAAAACTTTTTAAATTCTTTTTTTTTTCTTTTTTCAGTTTGGAAGTGCCGAAGCCGCTTTTCCGGCGACTGCGCGGCGGACAGTAGCGGGTCAGCCCAACTCGCCCTCCAGCCGTACGAACTCAGCGTCGTTGAAATAATTAATTTAATTAATTTAATTAAATCAATTAAATTAATTAAATTAATTACTTAAATTAATTAAATTAATTAACTAAATTAATTAATTAAATTAATTAAATCAATTAAATCAATTAAATCAATTAATTAAATCAATTTATCAATTAAATTGATTAAATCAATTAAATTAATTAAACTAATTAAATTAATTAAAATAATTAAAATAATTAAATTAATTAATTATTTATTTAAAAGTTTAATTCTTTTCTTTTTCCATTTCAACTCCAGAGATCAGTTCGATGGAAGACGCGGGCTTGAAGGGCGTCCGGCTGGACTTCCGCAGAACTGCGCAGGGGACAGTGTGAGAAAATGAAGTCCAACTTTAAGATTTAAAAAAAGAAAATTCTTTTTTAATTCCATTTTATTATTTATTTGGCATTTATTTACATTAAATTCTGTTTTTTAATTCCATTTTATTATTTATTTGGCATTTACATTGAATTATGTTTATTAATTCCATTTTATTAGTTGTTTGGCATTTATTTACATCAAATTGTTTTTTAATTCCATTTTATTATTTATTTGGCACTTACATGAAATTGTTTATTAATTCCATTTTATTGTTTATTTGTCACGTTTGTCATTTATTAATTCCACTTTATTATTTATTTGTCATTTATTTACATAAAATTGTTTATTAATTCCACTTTATTAATTATTTGTCATTTACATAAAATTGTTCATTAATTCCATTTTATTATTAATTTGCCATTTACATTAAATTGTTTATTAATTTCATTTTATTATTTATTTGTCATTTACAGAAAGTTGTTTATTAATTCCATTTTATAATTTACTTGTCATTTATTTACATAAAATTGTTTATTAATTCCATTTTATTATTTATTTGGCATTTATTTACATTAAATTGTTTATTAATTTCATTTTATTATTTATTTTGCATTTAAAGTTCAATGGGAAATAAAGACAACTTAAGTTGCTGTTCACCTCTTTGTTCGCCGTGGGCGTCTTCGTTTGAACTGGCGCATTAAATTCAATTCAAATGTTTTTACTTTCTTTAAAATTAAAATCAAAATCAAAATTAAATTAAAACTAAAATTAAAACTAAACTTAAAATAAATTAAAATTAAAATTAAAATAAATCAAAATTAAAATTAAAATTAAAATTAAATAAATTAAAAGCGCTTTCTTTCTTCGCAGCCTCACCACCCACGAAGACCCTTCGGCCAACGCCGACGGCCGCGCTTTCTTCCGGTGAGCAAAAAGTGGAAATTTAATTTAATTTAATTTAATTTAATTTATTTTAATTTAATTTAATTTATTTTAATTTAATTTAATTTATTTTAATTTAATTTAATTTAATTTAATTTAATTTGCAATTTATTTTGCGATTTAATTTGCAATTAATGGATTTAATGCATTTAATTTGATTTAATTTGCAATTTATGGATTTAATGCATTTAATTTGATTTAATTTGCAATTAATTCACTTATGGTTTTGATTTGCAATTAATTCACTTAATGGATTTAATTTGCAATTTAATTTGCAATTAATTCAAATTGCATGCATTAAACTCTTTTTAATTTGCAATTAATTCAAAACGCATGCATTAAACTGCAAACTTCCTCGAAACTGGGATCTAAATGGCCACAAAGTGCTAACGCCAGTTGCTGCTGCTGCTGCTGCTGCTGCTGCTGCTGCTGCTGCTGCTGCGCGCAGCGCCGCCCGGAGCCGCTTGTCTTTCGAAACCTTTAATGCCTTTTTGGCGAACATCAAAAGACTGAACAATCAGCAGCAAGACCGAGAAGAGACTCTGAGGACTGCCGAGCGGCTTTTCGGTGAGTCCGAGGTCCACTGGTCAGGTCCACTGGTCTCTTTGCTGCTGCTGCAGCGCAGCAGCAGCAGCAGCAAAGAGACCACTCCACTGGTCTCTTTGCTGCTGCAGCGCAGCAGCAGCAACGAGACCACTCCAGTGGTCTCTTTGCTGCTGCAGCGCAGCAGCGACAGCCGCCGCTGCAGCGGTGCAGCAAAGCAACTGTTTTGCTGCTGCAGCGGTGCAGCAAAGCCCCTGTTTTGCTGCTGCAGCGCTGCAGCAAAGCCCCTGTTTTGCTGCTGCTTGTCTGCGGTTGCAGGCGAAGCAAATGCAGATCTTTTCGAAGACTTCAAAACTTTGCTGACTCGCCACGCCTGAGTTATTGAAGACGAAGTTGAGAAATTAAATCCACTTTTAATTTGCTTCTCAATTTGAAGTTGCAAATGCAGCAAAACACGAGCTCCAGCAGCAGCAGCAGCAGCTGCTGCTGCTGCTGCTGCTGCTGCAGCAGCAGCAGCAGCTGCTTGCCGAGGCCCTCTGAAAGGAAATGTTGAAGTTGAAATTCAAATTCATTTTTGATTTTTTTGTAATTTGAATAATTGACTTCCCAGCGTTTGCAACTTCGCCTTTGCCAACTGAGCACTTGGCCATTTTATTTGCTTTTCGAAACAAAACAAAAAAAAGAATAAATAAAATAATCAAATAAAGGACAATAAAGCAAAACTAAATTTAAAAAGTAAATTAAAACAAAAGAAATTCAAAAAGTAAATTAAAACAAAAGAAATTAAAAAGGAAATTAAAACAAAAAGGAGTTCAAAGTCTCAGTTGAGCCCAACTGCAACTTGCAAGTGGAGAGCTAAAACAAACAAAATAACTAAATTGAATAAATTAATTTAATTAAATAAATTAATTTAATTTAATTTAATTTAATTAATTTAATTAATTAAATTAAATTAAATTAATTAAATTAATTAAATAAAGAAATTCCAATGCCGCTGTTGGCCTCACTGCCCTCTGGCGGCCGAAGAAGTTCAACTGCAGATTTTGTCAAGAGAAATACCAAAAGACCAAAACTGAATTATTTCTTTTAAAAATAAATAAAAGAATTAATTAATTAATTCACATTATTAAATTGTAAAATGAATTAATTCACATTATTAAATTGTAAAATGAATTAATTCACATTATTAAATTGTAAAATGAATTAATTCACATCATTTGAATTGTAAAATGAATCAATTCATCTAATTTGAATTGTAAATGAATCAATTCACTTTATTTAATTGCAAAATGGATTAATTCAGATAATTAAATTATAAAATAAATAATTCTTTTTTATTTCAAATTCGATTTGCAAAAGTCCCCAAGCTTTTGCTGGCCTTTCCCTTCAGAAGCTGCTTTTGCAGTTGGCGGGCCTTTCGCTTCGTCACGACGACACTGCCGCTCTGCTGCAAAAATAAAAATAAATTCAAAATTAAATTTAAATTAAAACTAATTAAATTAAAACTAATTCTAATTAAAACTAATTAAATTAAAACTAATTAAATTCAAAATGAAAGCAAATTAAATCCAAAATAAAAGCAAATTTAATTCACAATTAGAACAAATTATACCCAAAATTAAAACGAATTGAATCCAAAATAAAAGCAAATTAAACCCAAAATAAAAACAAATTAAACTCGAAATAAAAGCAAATTAAATCCAAAATAAGAAAGAACAAATTAAATCCAAAAAAAGCAAATTAAATTCGAAATTAAGTCCCGCTGCCAGCTGTCTGTACACCGCAGCAAACCCCACCTGCGGCCTGCCGGCGCTTCCAACGACTTGCAGCAAATTTTCGTCTTCTTCCAGTTCCCGAAGGACCTCCACGGGACTCATTTGCGTCTTCTTGCCCTTCCTGCTGCTGCTGCTAGCTGCTGCTGCTGCTGCTGCTGCTGCTGCTGCTGCGGGCGCCGCTGCTGCTGCTGCTGCTGCTGCTGCTGCTGCGGTGCTGCTGCTGCGGGGCGCCGCGAGCTTGTCCTCGAGGGACTGGGAAGCTGCTGCCAAGAACTGCTGCAGCGCCGCGGCTTCTGCTGCTGCTCCGAAGACAGCCCCCGAGGGCTCGCGGCAGCAGCAAAGCCGCCCCGCGGTGAAGTCCCGCAGCAGCAGTTTGGCCACGCGGTGGAGGTCCAGCTGCCCGCCTCTGCCGCCGGAGACGAAGTGCCGCTGCGCAGCCACGCAGGCCAGCAGCGCAGCAGCGTCCAGCCGCGCCCCCTGCTGCAGCGCCCCGCTGCTGCTGCTGCTGCTGCTGCTGCTGCTGCTGCTGCTGCTGCTGCTGTAGGGACTCAGCTTTTGCGCGGCGCGGTAGGCCGCCGGCGTGATCCCGTAGTGGCGGATGACGGAGTGGGGAATGGAGTCGCAAACGAGCTGCACGGAGCCCAAGTAGTCTCCGCTGGCAAACAAAACAAAAATAATTAAAAACAAAATTAAAAATAATAATAAAAACGCAAAAATAATCCCAAAATCCGAAAAATGCGAAAAATCTGCAAATTCAAAACAGCAGCCGATCACCCGCTCTGGGGTGTACGCACGTACACCCCAAAGTTGGGAAAGTTCATCTTTTGCAAATTCTCTCGAAATACGAAATAAAAAGCCATTTAAGCCATTTAATCTTCAAATTTTAAATAAAAACTATTTAAAACTATTTAATCTTCAAATTAAATAAAAAGAGATTCCATTTACCGCATTTCGTCAATGGAACTGACTCCGTTCAGCACCAGCGAGTGCTTCGACTTCACCACTTTTGGAAACACCAGACCTGACAGCAAACACAAACTCCAACACTGCAGCAAACTGCAGCAAACTGCAGCAAACTGCAGCAAACTGCAGCAAACTGCAGCAAGCTGCAGCAAGCTGCAGCAAGCTGCAGCAAGCTGCAGCAAGCTGCAGCAAGCTGCAGCAAGCTGCAGCAAAGTGCAGCAAAGTGCAGCAAAGTGCAGCAGGAAGAAGTGCAGTGCAGCGCAGCGCAGCAGAAGGGTCTCTGCGCGCAGAAGCCCCTTCCGTTGCTTTCGCCGCAGCCCCCGCAGCAGCAGCAGCACCTGCTGCTGCTGCTGCTGCTGCTGCTGCTGGGGGTCTCACCGGGGCAGTCGCAGAGCAAAATGCCCCTGCCTGGGAGCGGAATGGTTTGGACTCTGCGGGTTTTTCCGGGCTGCTGCGAGACAGCGACTTTTTTGGTCCCCAAAAGGGCATTAATGAGGGAGCTTTTGCCCACGTTGGGGAAGCCCACAGTGCCCACCACGAAGTCCGCTGGGGGCTCTGCAGCAGCAGCAGCAGCAGCAGCAGCAGCAGCAGCGGCGGCGCTGCGCTGCAGCAAGTGCGAAGTCCTCAACTCCGAAAGAACTGCCAGCAGCTCTTCGCAGTTCAGCACCGCCGCCGCCCGGCTGTCTGTACACCCCAGCCCTTCCCCCGCAGCGGCCCCGCCCTCCAAGTCTTCGCGCTTCAGCAACTCCTCCTGCTGCTGCTGCTGCTGCTCCTCCTCCTGCTGCTGCTGCTGCTGCTGCTGCTGCTGCTGCTGCAGCTCGCGGAGGGCGGAGAAGAAGACGGCGCGGACTCCGTTTCGGGCGAAGTGGTCGGCCCACATTTGCCGGAGAGCTTTGGGGAGAAGATCTGCCTTGTTCAGCACCAGCAGGACCTGCAGCAGCACGAAACTCCACAACAACACTGCAGCAGCAGCAGCAGCAGCAGCAGCAGCAGCAGCAGCAGCACGT